TGGGCGGGCGGTAGCTGTCCAATGATGTGCAAAGAATTCGCCCACCGTCGGGAGACAGTCCCAGGTATCCCACTCCTACGTAAGTTGATCCTACGCGTGTTTATTCGCTGGAGTGGCCTCTAGAAGATCGAGAGTGGATATTCAGGGGGAACCAGGCACCCATTTGGATAGCAAAGTGAGACGGAGCTTTGACTGACCTCTACCCATTGACTTTTCAAGTATGACCGGATCTACGGTTCTGAGGAGCCATCCCGTATAGTTCACGGGGTCATGGACGCGCGCCAAATATCACACCAAGTCAAGATGCAGCCTCGCTGTGTTATAATACCAGTAATAACAATAAGAAAAAGGACGGATTAGTATCAATCACATGAAAAATGAAATTAAATACAAGTACTCACGTCCAAGTCGGCCAGGAAGTGCAAAATGGTGGAAAAAATCCACTTGGTTACTCTAATCCACTCGACCAACGTGGCTTTGCGTAAAGCCAAAGCTAAATAGGATGTCTATTAAGATATCACTAAAAGTTACGGGGGACAGACCTCAGGTTTTGCCGACTCGATAGAGTACATAACACGACGCACCAGAACTTCGAAACGCTGAAAATGAGTGGGAGTAAGCACAGTATCTTTCCACTGACAAAAACACTTACCTCCTGGTCGTCCTTGGGAGAAAATCGGAAGCAAAGATGTTTGATTGCACGTAGCAGATCATCCGCTACAAGAAGAAGAACGCATGATTTTAACGGTTAACGGAACAAGATTGGCAAACCGGAAGTCTCTCCTGATATAGTGTCGTCACATGAAGCGCGAAATGTTGACAGAGTCCGTGAACGTGTGTGATAACCGCGCCAAACTTTCTATCAGATAAGAGCACAGGAACCAAAGATCATCAAATTGAACAGCGTCGACTTGCCTGGATCAGGAGAGCTGATCTTTCACGTATTCGAGCTTCACGACGTTCACATCGTTCTTTACGATTCTTCTCAATAAACACATCAACATCGGGTTTAATTTTTTCAAACATTCAGCTTGAAAGATTGTTGTGATCTTAGTGTGAAAACTTCGACAACCACATGTGAGTCTCAACGACCACACGCATGCTGCTGTTGGGCTGAAAATGAGTATCGAAGCTGAATCATTAGTATCGCTCAAATACATATCAGGGAAGTGAATGATACTGTTCACTTTTGTTCATAAATAATATGAGTTGCATAGGTGTAAACGCAAACTAGGATGGGGACGCAACGGACTGGGGAAAGATTAGGCCTAGACCAAGTGAACCTTTTATACAAATGATACGTCGACGATGTTTTCATCCCCCTCTATCAGCCTGAAGATGTTGATGTTCTGGGGGACGAATTCAATAATGCACGCCGTAATTTGAAATTCACCTGAGAGGTAGAGAAGGAACACTCGCTAGCTTTCGTTGATTTCCTAATCACCCGGAAAGGTAAATGTTTTAGTCAACAATCGATTTCCCGCAAGAAGACTTCGTCCGAACAGCATATTCACTTCATCAGTTCCTCACCAATAGAACACAATGTTATTTCATAGGGCATGACAAACTGTGTACAGAGGACACAATAATTTTTTTTTATTACACAAAGTGAATTACAGTAAACGGGAAAATCCCCATGAGCAAATAGCATACTGTAGGGGGGAGAGTAAGAGAACATNGGAGAGTAAAGGAAACATTCACGTAAGATCCAATTTATTGATTCTGCTTTAAAAAGTGCGAGATTGCAAGTCGGGGGAAAATAGCAAGTGGGAGGGTGTTCCACAGTTTGGCA